AAATCAAATCTAGTGCAGAGTAGATGGAAAAGTGAAAGTGAGGTCGAACTCAGCCAACACCACATTGCATGATGGGGCAGAATTAATAAGACATATGGTCTACTGCTGTAGCTATTTCCTGCATTCTTCTGTAATGAAGAAGCAAAACATTTGGAGGGTTTAGTTTGAAAACTAAAAATGATGGAGTTCACAGCAGGTCAGGCAGCATCGTGGAGAGAGGGCAAACTGATGTTTCGAGTCTAGACGACTCTTCATTAGAGCTGATGTGAAGTATGGAGGGGACAGTATTTATGCAATAGTGGGTGGGGGGGTGATGGGGAGATGGAATGCTAGGGGAGAAAGTGCAGATTAAGCGATCGGAATGTGAGAATGGAAGAACAATGGTGTGTCCACCTGCCAGACTGGAAAGAACAGACAGTCCCACTAGAGTGGGAGGAGGGGACAGAGGACATAGTGACAGAGAATGCAACATGTAAAGCTAAAGGAAAGGGAAGAAGTGGGATAGGGTTCACAATCTGAAGTGCCTAGTCTGAAGATGAGATGATGTTCCTCTAGTTTTCGCTGGAGCTGTACGCTGAGGACAGATAAGTCATCATGCGAATAGGATGCTATGTTAAAATGACTGGCTATGGAAAAGTTAGGGCCATGCTTGTGCATGGACCGGAGGTGTTTTGCAAAGTAGTAACGCAGACTGTGTTTAGCTTCTCCAATGTAGAGTAGGCAACATTGGGTGCAGTGAATGCAATAGACCAGTTTGGAGGATGTACATGTGAAATGTTACTTTACCTGGAAAGACTGTTTAGGCCCTTGGATGGTGAGCAGGGAAGAGGTGAAGGGGCAGGTGTTGCACCTTCTGCAGTTACATGGGAAGGTGATGTGGGAAAGGGGGGTGGTGTCGGTGATCATCAAGGGTTGAGTTTACCTGATTGTGATGATGTTATTCTGTAACAAATCACCAACTGAAACCTCAGTGTGCACTCGGGCCAAAGATGTAACCTTCAAAATTTATTAAACTTGCACATTGTATTTACTCTTGAGGTGCCGGCACAGAATTGCAGACTTTATCTGCATTGTTGCCAAATCTGTACTCCTAAAACACTGACCAATCTTTCATACAGGCCTCACTATCTTCTGTAACAAGAACATAAGAATTAGGAGCAGGAATAGGCAGTGCAGTCCCTCAAGCCTGCTCCACCACTTGATAATGATCATGGCTGATCTCATCACGGGCTCAACCCTACTTTAATGCCTGCTCCCAATTTAATCTGTTACCAAGTAAAAATCTGTCTTTGTCTTCCCTAAGTTTATTCAGTGGCGCAGCACCCGCCACATGCTGGGTAGTGAATTCCACCGTTGAGAGAAGTAATTCCTCCTCATCAATAATTGATCATTTCTGAAGACCCGAAACGTCAGCTTTCCTGCTCCTCTGATGCTACCTGGCCTGCTGTGTTCATCCAGCTCCACACCTTGTTATCTCTGACTCCAGTATCTGCAGTTCTTGCTTTCTCTCTCTTAATTCCTCCTCATCTCTGTTTTAAGTCTACCAACTGTTAGTCCAAAACTATTATCTGTCATTTAGAATGCCTCACAGGGGGAAACATTTGCTCTATGTCACAAATAGAAGATTCTTGTGTAACACACAAAAAAATTATAGTTCATGGAGGGTGAGGGTGGGCACAAAGCTGTCCTGACTTAGGCAGTGTGAAATCAAGTAGCAAATAAGATTAGTTAGGGAATTGACAGTCTCCTTTTAAAGAAGGGGAGAAGAGGCAGCAGGTTGACATGTGCAGTGTTAGATGGCCACAAGCCACCACATGGGAATGAAACAACAGTCAAGTAAATCGTGAAGAAGGGATTTTGGGAGGGCCTCATGATTTGATGCAAAGCAGCCTCGAGCAAGGGTTTCCTCAATGTTCCTTATGAGACCCTTACCCCTTTTTGCCCCACAAGGAAAGCAACAACAAACATTTCAGTTTGGGTTTCTTCTGCCCCATGCCTCTCCTTGTGCTAGTTGATAGTGAGAAAGCCACAAGTGGAGGTTAAAATCACAGTTGGGCCAATTGAATCAATGCCAGAGCCTGATCTGCATATCAAAATAAGGATCCACCAGTTTGTTTCCTTCTCGCCTGCTTAAGGGGAGCAGATTATAATCATGGATTGTGGGAAGAGGGCGAGAAAGTCCCATGTGATTTTAAGCCATTTTTCCATCACACAAGTGGTGTTAAATCATTTCTACAGACAACAGTGCTTTCTTTTTATTCTGGAGCAAGGGGAAGAATACCAGAAGATTGTGCGATATAACTGGATAACTAAACTGTCCTGCATGTTTTCTAATCTCTGTGTGAAAGTTAATTTAAAACAGTCATTTAAAACTTGCTCTGAATCCTAACAGTTCTTACAGGTGCCTTTTATAAATTGAAATGGTAGAAAAAAACTTACTTCATTTTTTAGTTTGAGGTAATTTTTATAGGCCATTTAGCTTTACCTTTGAACATCATCCTAGTGAATAGAAATGATCATGATTTTTAAACATTTTTCATCATTCATTTTTTGCCATTTGTCATTTATCTTTCAGAGGGAAGTGTTTGCAGCAAGTTGACTTCTGCTATTGTGTATGTAAGACAGTTATTAAATGATGCTGAAGGAAGTCAACAGGCCTCTGCAGCTCAATCTTCCAGCCATTTAACATGAAATAGTTTTACCTTTTTGGTGTTCCATCTGTTTTCTTTGAAATATATGCAGTGGATCAATTAAAGTGCAGATGTTTGTCTATCTAAAACCACTCCCGAACTGCTGACATCTACATTTTAATGCCATTTCAAACCCAGTTGACTGAACAGTTAACAACTATTAACCATTAACAACTATTCACCCTCCCAGCCTGATCGTTAGCAACTCCTTTGTCTGTCCAACTGTCTTTGTCTCTCTTTGGGCTCTATCCTATCGTTTACTCCCTACCCCACCCATCTCCCCATTTTCTGCATATAAACTGACGTCTTCCCAGCCACCATCAGTTCTGAGGAAGGGTCACCGGACCCGAAACGTTAACTCTGTTTTCTCGTTCACAGATGCTGCCAGACCTGCTGAGCTTTTCCAGCAACTTTGTTTTTGTTGCGACTGAACAGTTAAGTGTTTTTAATTTGAAAATAATTTACAGAAGCCACACCTGTTCATATTTACAACTGCAACTGTTCACTGGGGCAGTCAATCTCAGTGCTTTCAGGTTGTTGGTTGCGTCGATGACACATACAAGTCTAAAACGACAGGATTATTCCTAGCGAGGCAGGCATATTTCAAGGTCCATTTGAGGCAGCCTAATACATATGAAATGACATTGAACCATCCTTCTTAAGGAGACTCTTTTGCCTAGAGTCTTTTAATTAGTGGTTACCAGTGGGTCTGGACCTCTACACTGTGAGTGCACACTTTTTAATGATACTATATTGCAGGAATGGGTGTTATCAGCCTTTTGTCTTATTCTCTGGCCAGAGTAGGGGTTGGATGGGAAATACAGGCAATCCTTCTTTGTTATTTTCCCCATCTCTAGTGTTATGGACCAGACCAAACCTCTCAAAATATATCAAAGAGATAGCCTAGACCCTAACTTTTATCTTCACTTAAAGGTAAGTGTAAGGCACTGTTTTCCAGATGTTATTCGATTGGTCACATAACTAGGTTTTAAGCAAAACACAAGTATTCTTACATCACAGTTAAAACACAAAGAAAAAGAATTGGCACAACTTTACCTCTATTGAAATACATAACAAAATAATTTTTATTTAACTGCTACTCATCAACTCTTGCAATACAGCAGCATCCCATAAATATACTGTTGGCAAAGGCAAATTCAGCAAAACAGATTTCCCTCATTTGCAATCTTCTCCAGTCCTGGAGAAAGGAACACTGATAGAATGAATCCAGCAGCAGCAGGGAAAGAGTTGTATCTAGCAGCTTCAATTCCAATTACCCCCACTTCAAGAACTGAAAGCAAAACTAAAACCCTAAGTCTGTGTGAGCCTGACTCTATCTACTCATGCCTCTTTTGTGTAATTAAAAAAAAAGACCCAAAGCTATTTACTCTGCTTTCCATGGAGCAGGCATGTCATCACCAGGTTGACATCACACCTCTTCAAGAGAGCCAAGACAGAACAAATCCCTCTTAAAGGCACACTAGGATCATTAGCATTAGCTCATGACTTGCTGGTAATTGATTTCCATTGTCATCCGGGAGGTCCTACTCACTGTGACTACGTTTACAGCTTCAGGCTTTGATTCCTCTTGCACGGTTCACTGCCAAGAGACACTGGGCCTGAGCTTAAATGGCCCAAAATGCCCAATCCTGGTGATCTTGGCTCTGGACAGAAGTGGAGTTCCTGGGTAGAGTGCAGCCCTTTAGCACTGGGTCAAGGTGGGGTGTGGGAGGGTGGTAGGTGTTGCTTATGCCTGAGGTTGAGGAAAAGTTACCCTACAAATTCTAAAGCGAAGTATTTCAAGATGTCACTGGCTATATATTATTACAGTCAGGAAAAGGTGACCGCTTCATCTATTAAATTTGAACTTATCAAGTAACCAAAAATATTTATTTAAAGATGCATATGGAGTGCTGTTTTCTTTCCTCACTTCAGGAAGGAATAAAGCTGGTCAAATACATCACTGCTTCAGCTCACTCACTTTAAGATAGTTATTGTCATTTATGCTGTAGTATTACCACAAATAACTAATTAGAAATAGAGGAAGCCAAGATAGACCACAACCTCCAGCTACCTGTTATCTTTGTTAACCACAATTTCAGCAGCTGTTAGGAAGCATACTGGTAAGGACAATCAGTTTATATATTCATTTTGCATTGGTTTTTCTCACCCAGAAATTCATAATTTTGTTTCAAGCTTTGCTAGAGGATGTCTATTTCATGAGCAAAAATGGTTTGCTACAACTTGTTCAATCATGAACTTGATTGTATAGGATTTCAATAAATTTTGCATGATATCATTGGGGTATACCTCAAGGAAGAAGAGACTTGCTGCTGATGTTGGGTGGTGGTACATGTAAAATGTCACGAGCACTCCTGCTATAACAATGATGATGACCAGGAGTATCCCCACGATCAGGCCAGTGTGAACTGAGTCACCTCTCTTCTCAGCAGTGCTGTCAGCTGTGGAAGCTGGAAAAATAGTAAGAAGAGAAATACGTCATTTCTTTAACCTCGGCAAAAGTAGCGATTAGGATGTTCCATGGGTTAAATTAGGGATTTTGCATTCTGGAATTCCATTGCCCTGAAGTAATAAACCTGTAAACCACTTGAGTGTAATTGTTAATGAGGTCTGACAGGTATGGCACACAGTTTCCCTGTGGATTGCCATTTATGTAAAGTAGCACTGATAACATCTGTGGTATTTCATCTCTCACAGCTTAAATTTGATCAAATGTATGTTTGAATTTCAGGTAATTCTGGCTGCTTCAACTACCTGGATAACATTAATGACTACCCTAATTACAGTTCTGAACATTAGGATCAAGCAAATGGAGTAAAAAATTGTGACATAATTTACAAGAGGAAATCATTTTTTGTGGCACCATCAATTTAACCAAGGGCTTCATTAGAGACTGGCACCAAGCCATCTTGTTAAACATTTTCAAATGTAGCCATTACTGGAGGAAGGTTCAGGCAAATAGTTAGAATGACCTATTTCACATGCTTCACCATTTGTTGACTTTCATTTATAAATCATAGAACATGTTTTGCGGACCAACAACTAATTTCAGCCATTCATGTTGAAAAGCTTGGATGATTTCTTCTCAAAAATTTGGGCGTTTGGCTCAATTGATAGCAATATCGCTTCAGAATACTGTAGATTTGATATCTATACATGATGTGAGCTCGTAATCTAGTTTAATCCTTAAGTACAGTACTCAAGGAGTGCTGAATTATTAGAAGTGTCAGATGTGATTTAAATCGTTCTGGTGAAAGCACTATGTGGAGGAGAGTAGAGATCTTTTTCATTATGTGTGCTGTAACATAATTCCATCAGTGCAACACAGATTACTGTTTAACAGTAGCAGAAATTATCTTCAGGCTGTGAAACTTTGCATGCTTCAGCAACTTACGGAGTCTTCAAGGGGGAATGGGGTTAATGTTTGAAAATTCTTAAAAGATAGGTGCCAAAAAAGCAAACTCAAGAGTGTAGGCATTAGCTTCAGTGGCTGGCCAGGTTAAACAAAAATAAACTCTGCTTTACCAAAATTTGTAGGTGCACTTGTGCTTATGTTGGTAATTCCTGGCTAATGCATAATCTGTCTGGCAGTGCTCATTAACATACTATTCACATAGCAGTATCTAACAATTGTTAAAAAGTCCAAATTGTGATGCTTTTGTTTCTTTCTCCATCCTAATCCTCTCACAGCTGGCAACATTGTGTTTCTGTTAGTCCTTAGTTTGCTGGTCATTCAATCTCCTCCCATTGTGACAAGCTTTGCAGGATGATGATGATGATGGTGATGTAGCAAACCATGAAATTTCTGGAGCAAAATCAGAAAAACTGTTGGTGAAACACAGCCGGTCTTCACCGGACTCGAATGTTAACTTTGCTTTCTTCCCACGGATGCTGCCATACCTGCTGAGTTTCACCAACAATTTCTGATTTTGTTTCAGATCTCCAGCATCCGTGGTTCTTTGTTTCATTTTAAGGAAATATCTGGAGGCCCTCTTAGGGCTGTATTGAAAGACAAGTTCTGACCTGTACGTGTATTGGAACTTGTTTTAGAAGGCCAGTTACTAGTTCTAACAGTGCGGTTTTCATTACAGTGCTTCTTAGCTTCAGTGATCAGGTTCCTCAGACTCAAGAACCAGTTCATACAAAAGACATATCCTTTGTTGCCCAGCAACTAGCCACGAAGGTGCTGGATGATGGGATTCAGGATGGATAAAACATTGTGGTTAAGACAAATGCTTTATGACTTCTATAGACCTAGACGATCCAATGTCTATGGTCGCAAATCAATGGCAGATTGAAGGCGTGAAAGTTTTTCTTTGTGCTGTGTTGCTTAGGACCCTCAGATGGAACAAGCAGAATAATCTGTGTGAAACAGAACCCAGTGAGACTCGGAGCTCTTTCCTTGGTTGGGTTGCAACTAATGGGAAGGTGCTAAAGTGGCTTTGGCTTTTAGAAGACGACATTGGTGACCTGCTTGATGATGCTGTTGGTGTCGAAGCCTGGAAAGTCTCAGATCAATTTGAATTTTGAAAGCCATTTATTGCCTCAATCGGCACGATGTACGACCTGGTGCTGGGCTGTGATCTGCAAAAGCCTTCCTGGTGAAACTGAGTCAGCAGCTACATTGCTTTTCATTGAGGTTGATGTGGGACAGACAATTGTCGAAGGCCTGTTTGGTGTAAGGTCTCCTGTAACTTCTTCTCCTTGATACTTTCCTGCCAGCAGCTGTGATCCTCTGTACTTTGCTGCTGTCCACACCTCCCCGCCCTCACACCAAGTCATGCTCTTGCTCCATCAGCACCCTGAATAACATCAACAATGTACGGAAGCCCAGGCATGGAGAGAGTATTCAAGTTCCTAAATGTTGCCTGTTTATCATCATCAAACCACAATAGTCAAAAATAAATCTAGAAGTAACTAGATACTTGCTCAAGTGCAGTTGAAGATCCCTTTAATTATCCTTCAACAGACAAGGGACTGTTATTTTAATATATAAGTATGGCTCCACAGCATATAGGCAATACAACCAACTTTGGTGACTGGTACAATTCCAGAGGAGATTGAATGATGGAGATTTGGCTCTAATATCTAATGTTAGATTCAAAATGCGTCTATGACAATCTTTCCAATGTTGAAAATTTTTCAGAATAGGAACATATGAACTGAATTAAGAATAAGACAAGTCAGATTTTTTTCTCCTTTAGTCAAAATCAGAATGCAAAGATACAGTATCAATATTTTGTCTCTTCTCTGAAATATGTTGCTACACAGAATGAAGAGTAACACTTAGATTGGTATGTGATGCTGTTCTGCAAGTCAACAGCATAGAAAACATGTCAAAATTAATTCAGAATGTCAAACCAAGAGAACAATGTTTTGGGAGTTTATAAATATTACATGAATTACCAAATGTTTGAAACACAATTTAAATGTCTTCAATGTGGAAAAAGAAATTGTTTGCTTTACCTTTTGTGAGACCCAGCTTTTATGCAAGGTGTTGGACAAGGGATTCTCAAGGTAAAACCAAATGGTTTAACTTGATTTGCCCTTGCACTAAATAATTCTAACTATTATGACACTTTATTTCAATCAAGGTATACTGCACAAATAGCATTTCAGGACTTTTAATGAATTACATGTAGCTATAGATGAGTGAGCTAGAGCAGGTGACTAATTGCCACACTGTACTTGTAAACATACTCAGAAAGGCCAGGTTGTTTTAAATATAATTAGCTAATGGATCTTACTCCTTTAAGAAGGTTGCATTCATACCTTGTTTGATTGAAACAGACATCTTCAAAATCTGGAGCCAGGTCAAACAAAGTCTATGTGATTGCCCCTAAGTTGTTTACAATCTACCTGATAGGAGATCAACTGCCCCCTGGTGTCAGTGTTAAATACCATCCATACAGAAAACTCTTAACTTCAGTAGATGTTATGCTAAGACAAAACTGACCACAATAAATATATCTGACCTTCAGAATGCAAGCAATTGGAGCGCTGTTTCCCACTCTGCAATCAGATTTGCAAGGCATTCCTGATCTCTTTAATTCTGTATTCAAGAAACCCTTTAATGCTGTCAAATTAAATCTCATGCATCAACCTACACACAGTCAGCCAAATATTCCATCTCTCACAAATGTTGAGTATGTTGCACACTCCCCGTACTTTGGCAGCTACCTCTCTTAACAGATTACCATTGAGGAGGAGATCTAATGCCAGATTAGCTACTTGAGCACAGCCTTAGAAACAACTGCAGTAATTGTTTGGCAACCAGGGAAACAAAAGTCCTGCTGTACAGAGCTGTTGTCCTCAACACACCTCTGTACTCCAGTGAGACCTGGACAGTATATCGGCAGCACATAAGAGCACTAGGGAAATTTGGCCAGTAATAACCTCTGGAATCAATGGGAGGAGCATCAAATGAAATGTCCTTCTTGAAGGCAGCTCTATAAGAATTCAGACTCATTCCTTAACTCTCAAACAGCCAATGCTCTAGAGGGAACCAAAGTATATCCTTCCAGGACACTCTGAAACTCTCCTTGAAGTGGAAGTGCAATGGCATTAATGAGTGGGAGAGGCTCGCTGCCAATCATTCAGAACAGCAACCACTTCTCCATCAAGCAGCCTCATGTTTTCAATCATAACATCTTAACACTGGGCCAGAGTGGTGGCACAGCAGGTAAGAAAAGGAAGCAAATCCTGCACTCCGGATTCCACTACCCTGTGTCATACTGCCCATGTGCCCAAAGATCACAGTTACATGAAGATGATGAGTGAAACTCAAGTCCCTGAGTAGGAATCATCCTGAACTGAGGGACAGCTGATAACAATTATTGAAACATATCTGTTTACTATAGGATTAATCATTTACATTCCAGTATAAATTATAACATGAGATTTATTGTATCAATTGTACAAAACACAATGAGTTTGACTTGCAGAGATTTTAAAAATTTTGTTTTGATGTCTTGCTAATTTTTGCTATGGAACTGCAGTGCCGATTAGCTATATGCTGGAAAACTATATTAAGGTATTTCCTGGTGTAACTAATTGCAGTTGTAGCACCGCATTTTGGCCGATTAATTTTGTACCACTGTTCTTTTTTTCACTTTATTATTTAACCTAAATGAATGCATCAGTTATTGGCCTATTGCTGTTCATGGTACTCTGAGGTATCTTCCTTTCTATGCGGCTAAAAACAGCAACATTAATTACACAATTGTCAAAAGATCATAATGATAAGAACAATGAAAAGCAAACTGCATCATTCAGCATACACACAACTGGGAGAGGAGCACAATGAAACTGGCTTATAGGAAAGATAAATCAAATTGTGAATCAGAGTAAACAAACAATTAGCAGGCAATGTTATGAGAGTTAAATATAGAATTATAAATTACACACATCGCAGTGTCACCTTTATCTGGTCTTGTCTTTTCATTCCTCC